TTTTGAATCAATAACGAAATATTCTACAAATAAATATATATTTGTTTTCATAAATTAATTAAAAGAGTTTTTAATCAATATTTATTGAGATTTTTGTTTTCCATTCTAAAATTATATATGAATTTTCTTGAGAAATTTCAAAAAATGCCACTTTACAAAAATGCCACACTTTTGAAATCTTTACAAAAATGCCAATTTTTCAAAATTATTTTTTCTTTATATTATTAATGTTTGGGTTAATTATGTTCTATTATCGTTTAGTTACGAGGGTTTAGGGGGGTTTAGGGGTCAAAACATTTTTTAGTGTTTAGAATTTGAAGATATAGGGTTTAAAAATCTATAATTAGTGGCATTTTTACAAATATGCACATAAAAAGTGGCATTTTTGCAATTTCCCTTTTCTTTTCTCATCTAAAAATAGTTTAGAAATAGATTGTTGTAATACTAAATTCTAGAACATTTTTATAGAATATATATTCTTTTCAAAATTAATAATAAAGACTTAGCAAATTTTCAAAAGAGACTTTGATTTTTTTTAAAAACAACTTCCCAAATTTATAAGGGGCAATTACAAAAATGCCATTTTTTGTGTGCACATTTGCAAAAATGCCACTTAGGGGTGCCTATTTGCAAAAATGCCACTAATTATAGATTTATAAAACATGTATCTTAAAATTCTAAACCCTAAAAAATGTTTTGACCTCTAAAACCCCATAAACTCTCATAACTAAATCCTAATATAACATAATTAACCCAAACATAAATGATATAAAGAAAAAATAATTTTGAAAAAGTGGCATTTTTGTAAAGATTTCAAAAGTGTGGCATTTTTGTAAAGTAGCACTTGAAAAGTGGCATTTTTTGAAATTTCTCAATTTATTTATAACAACAAACATAATTATTCTTTTGAAATGTTTTTTTAACACAAGACAATTTGAAAATAACAAAATATTATTTAATTCGAAAAAAAATTTGTGTTTCATTTATCAAAATTTAAGAATATATATTTTCATGTTTTAAAATATTAAATAATTTATTTATATTCTGAATTCTACTTAAGATATTTTGACAAGCCAAAGTTGACATAATTAATAACTATGATACAATTTAAATAAAAATAAATTGTATATATTTATTTAACAAATATGTACTCTTTAAACTATTATGCTGAATAATTTCTATTTTTATAGTAAATTTTATATTTTATATATAAATTTATAAGCAAATAATAAAATATTAGTGTGAATATTTTTACAAATTACGATTAAATTAAAAATAATAATGTTTAATTTAAATGTCCAACTTGAATATTGAATCTAACAAATAAAAATACTGATCTAAGACCTATTCCAATGAAAGATATTTTGATTAAAACGCAAACACAAACCAAAATAAAACCATGCTATATTATCCATCATAGATATGTAGATATTTTCATTTTAGTTATATTTATTCACAAATAGAATGATTTACACGGGTTTAACCAAAGAGATATTGAACACAATTGATTATAATATATAGTTTTTGTCAAAATTTCAAGCTTTAAGAGAATTTATACACATAGTAGTAGAAATGAAGAAATGTGTAGAAAAGACAAAAATCTTACTTAGTTATTAAAAGAGAATTGACTTATTGCCAATGTGAATAATGAAATTAGAATTAGTACAAACAAATGAAAATAATAAAAAATAATATTATTTTATATAAAGAAAATTAAACTTAAATCCAAATTGAACATTATTAGCCATTTTAACCACGAAATAATACTTTTTAATTTATGTGATTTCTAAAATATATTTAACCGTGTATAACGCGAGGAGTCATCTAGTAATTATTAAAATAAACACAATATAAAAATATTAAAAAACACCAAAAAATCATAGCGACATTTGCAAAAATGTCACAAATTGGCCAAACTATTGCAAAAATGCCACACGCACTCAGTTTTTACAAAAATACCACAATTTTGTCCAAAAAGACAAATTTACCCCTTGCAAAAAAAAGCTCTCAATCTTCTCCATCGCAAAACCTAATCGCCATCGTCATCTCTCTCGAAAATCACAGCTTTTACATAGGAAATCGACAATCAGAAAACTTGAATCGGAACAAGAGCAACCGAGTTTGATGAGAACTTACGAAATCACAATCAGAAAACTTGAATCGGAATTTACACAAAAGCAATCGAGGATCAATTCGTTGAATACGAATCTGGAAGAAACGATTCCGTTTAAAAAATCGATTGAGAAAACCTCGAGTGGATCTATCTCTCTGTTCGATGAAATCCAGTTTTCAAATTTGAAATTTAAACAACTTTGTTTAGATTCTGGGTTTTGCTTTGAGATCTGCAGGTACCTTCGTCAAATCGATGGTGAAGGAAATTAAATTCCAGAGATTACTTAGTGGATGCCGTGTTTAGATGGTGAACATGTGAAATTTTTTTGTCTTTTGAAGCTATGTTATTAAATTTGACTTGTGATTAGGCATTGAATGGTTTGTAGATAGTGGTCATCTGAAAAGGTAGCAGTGGTGATTCATTCGAACCGAGGAACTGGACTCGAACTCACAAGACAGCTTGCGGTTCACAGACTAACGATTGTTCTTACTGCTAGAAATGTAGATGCTGGCCTTGAGGCAGTTAAAACCTTGAAGGACCAAGAGGGTCTCAAAGTTGAATTCCATCAGCTTGATGTCACAGACTCGTCATGTATTAGAGAGTTTGGTTGCTATTTAAGCAAACATTTGGAGGTGTAGACATTCTCGTAAGAATCCGTAGTCTTGGTGGATAGTTCTTTTGTTTTATTTGTGTGACTGTATTTTGCAGGTGAATAATGCAGGTGTCAACTACAATCTCCGCTCAGATAATTCCGTTGAATTTGCCGAGACAGCCGTATCTACTAATTACCATAGAACCAAAAACATGACAAGTGAACCTAAGGGAAGTGGAAGAGGAAGAAGTTAAGAGAACAAGAAAACCTTTTCGTGACAAGCACTAAAAACTGCAGGTAACACATGAACTCCAACTTGGTTAGCAATAAATCAAGACACATAATGCCTATCATAAATATCAATAGTTAGTGAAACACATGCATAGGCTTCAAGCCTTCAGCTACGTCTCCAACTAATGATTTATATACATGCAAATGTTCAAGATTGACAATAACCAGCAATGTTATCAAATATTTAAACCACAACACCAAACATGTTATAACTTGTCAGTTTGGT